GCACTGCAGTGGCCCCAGAGGAGGCAGAGCCAGACCCCCCCCCACACCCCCCCAGCTCCGCTCCCCATCTTTGGTAAGCAGGTTCCTCTGCTCTGCCCCCGCCAGACCCACAGTTCTGTCCATCCCAGGTCCCCCTCTGCTCCCCACAGCACCAGGCTCTCAGATAAACCCTTGCCAAGATGAAACTTGTTGCATCCCTCAGGTTCGTATCTCAAACAGGGACTTGTACGGTTAATAAAAGAAAAAAAAAAAAAAGTGCATGGTGAGGGGAGGTAGGATAGAGCTAGAAAAGGGACAAGAAGAAGAAAATAAAAATAAACCCCCTACAACTCTTGCTACGGCTGCTTAAATTAAAAAAAAGCTGATTTCTCCCCCCACCAAAAGCAACTCACTGGTGAGAAGTAATTGCTCCAAAGGGGAAGAGAGTCATGTTTTTCCTCTCAAATCTATGGATGCACAAGGATGTTCACCTTCTTGCAACGCAGCTACAGCCGTGCTCCAGGAGAGCAGTCACAGCAACAACCAGCAAAGGGCTCAGAGGGGTGACCAGGGACGTGCACCCCACTCGGAGCCCGCACCCCCCCAGCCTGTCCCCAACACCCGGGCAGAGGGAGGCCATCAGAACCCAGAGACACCTTGTGTGTTGAGCCTCACGCCAGGCAAGAGAGAATACAGGGGCTCTGACTACAGATGCAGATTAATAACTAACACCACTTTAATGCAATACTGCTGTAGAGCCTGAAAATCCAAGGGGAAAAAAAAAAAAAAAAAAAAGAAAGAAAGAAGAACCCTTTATGTTCTATGTACATTACATCCATTTACAGAGTTGGCCAGTACTGTGTACAACATATAAATACATGATCAAACAGATGCATAGAGGATACTTACAGGAGCCAAATAATTCACTTTATACATCCAAGAATGAAAATATTAAAAAAAAAAAAAAAAGGAAAAAACACTGCTTTTAAATGTTAGATGATGGTCACACAGATGCACAGCTAGACGCCTGCATGTGGTCAGATGCTGTCGTGGTAAGGTCCTCATTGCAGGGCAACGCAGAGGTCGCTGGCCACAGAAACGAGCTTCTAGGAACCTCTGACCTTTCACACTACGTGGTGGCAACTCAGCCAAAAGAGACAGTCACATCTGCTGGCCCAAGCGTTCAGCTGGGGACACAGGTCCCGGGGCCACACATCGTCCTGCAGACCAGCAGAAGGCATTCGCTTGGCTCCTGCCACTTTCCTTTTTTTTCTCTCTCTTCTTCTTGCATCCTCCGAGTTGGCTCCATCCAGTACGGGGTGAGCTGGATCCTGCTCCTCAGCCACCCGTGGAGCGCTCTACTGGGCACCATGACCTGCTGTAGCATCCAAAGCCCGTGCAGAACCATCACTGAGGAGCAGCTCGTTGCTGACACGTCCTGTGCAGCGGCACTTCCCAGGCAAACCGAGAATGGAGATGGCAGGAGGGGAGAGTGGAAGACTGTAGGGCCTCACCTAGCGCAGCCCTGAAATAGAAAACAACCCTGTTCCAGTTCCTTTGGATGTAGAGATTTCCTCGAGGGAGGGTCCACGGATTGCCACAGCGAACTGCCTCTCACCCAGCTGTCAGCCTGGGCATGTGTACCAGAGCACCACCAGTATTTCCACAATCACACCAGCCAGAAGGATCACTCCAGCGGGACGCAGCCCACCCAGATGGGAGTGTAACCGTGAGCGAGGAAGGGTTTTGCACTGTAGATTCCAGTGGGAAGGCCAGTCAACTTTCCTCACCAAAAACAAAGTGTAATAGCATTTCTACTATAAACAGAATAGTATTTTGTGTACAGGTTTTCAGGTCATCAGTCGTTATCAAAATACACACACTGAATATACAATTTGTCCCATGGCCATAATTTATTATCTCACCACAAGGCACAATACACAAAGCTTAGAGGGTCCTATACAGTCATCGTGACAGAAGGCCCCGCAGCCTTTACACATGATCATGGCTTTAAGGCTGCACGAGCACTTGAACGAGATCTCGTCAACGCTGCTGCTGTCAGCAAACATCTGCACGGAAAGGGACGTATTATGGTTTGCAGCAAAGTTCGCTTTGTGGGTTAGCTGCATCATGCTTCCAGCAAGACTTCTGGGAAAAGCTGGAGTGTTGGATGAATAATTAAAGCTGGTGGAATTAAGCTGCAGCTTCGAAAGCTTCCCATAAAACGCTTGCTTGATATTGAGCTGAGAGGGTATGGAAGAAGGCTCCAAAGGGTGATTGTGTCCTTTTCCTGACTCCTTCGAAAACTTAAAAAACGGCAAGTCCATAACCAGGGGAACGCTCTGCAAATGCTCGCTCGGCTCCACGGGGTTTTGGGCATCGTTCCGATTCTCCGCGTTACTCTTGGCTGAGCTGCCACAGGCCAACACGTTCTCATTTTTAATTCCTCCTGGGGTGTTGGGGGGCTGCTTTGAAGTCCATTCTTCCCTTGGAGCCACCATTCCTTCTCCTGACGCACAGCTCTTGTTCTGAGGAATCTGTTTGCTGGGGGACAAGGTTCCCATGGCTGACGCTTGGTCCAAGGCCCTGGAGTGATGCAGTCTAACACTGGGGTTAGAAGGAAAACCAGAACCAAAGAGTTTTTTGCCTTGAACACCAACGTAGTTTTTACTGACCGATGTACCCTCTGTCTGATTTGGACCCAGAGAAGTTACAGCTGGAGACAAAAACCGAGGGTCCGTAGAGGCATTCAGCTTCTCCGGACTTTTATTTGTGATGACACTTGTTGACGGGTTGTGCTGTGGCACCTGATGGACCTTGGGCAACTCTTTTTGCTCCTCAAAGCTACAGGAAGAAAATGTTCTTTCCCGAGGGCCCACATCTTCAGGCTTCTGAGAGGCACTTGCCACGTTTGCCAGTTGGTCTTGGCAGCTTAAAGTCGCGCCAGCTTTGGAATGTTTTTCTGGAATAGACTGATCCTCTGCATCCTCTGCTCTAGGCAATGCTGCCCCTGATCTGCACTTCTCCTGGGGATCTG